CAAAGTTGGAATTTGGAAATTATGGTTTGTTAGGAAAAGAGTAAATAAAAGAGAGAGTAAATAAAAGAAGAGAGTAAAGAAAAATAACGAGTTATATGGGAATTGAAGTCGGTTTTGTTGTTTTTTTTTGGATAAAAATTATTTGTTTATTAGTTGAATTTTCAGGTAAAATTATTTTTTATTTAGTTAGAGATAGGGCTCATTTGTAAGCAAAATTGTAAGCTATTCAACGTGCTATTGACCTATAGTTAAAATTTATACTCTTTCTAAATTAATAGGCTCAGAAAATAAAAATTACGTAGAAAATAAAAAACGCGAGAATTATATTATTCGAACAAGTAATTTTTAAGCAAAAAACAAACCGACTTCAGATCTCATATAAAAATTTAAGATTATCGTTAAATTATTTGTGATCCAATAATCGGATTTAATTTTTAATTAGTATGGGATCACCAGTGAAGTAACACCTTTCTTTTAAAAAAAGAATTATAGAAATCGGTTGACGTGGTATAAAGTTATGCGGTAACATACATAACAAAAAAGTATTCCGACGAACTGATAACCTTCTCCTTCTAATGAAGTCGGTTAAAAAGGAACGAGCATATGCTTTCTAACTCATTACGTCGTCTTCCAATGGCCATAGTTTCTGAGGAAAAATCGTAAAGCACCACTCGAATGCGCATTTGAAGGGTAGGAATAGTACCTACTAAATGGCATAGAGCAAACAAAAGTGGCCATTAAAGCCGTTTTTCGTGTACTTAACCATGAAAAACCTCAATATCTTGGAGCATTTGTAAGCTCGAGCTCGAGTTCTAAGCAGTAAATTACTTTCAAATCTGTATTCATAATTATCATGTTCTTAATTTCTTTCGATTACATGTCAAATCGCAAATCTACTGAACTCATGCTACTTATTGCATAAAACAGACTACAAGTCATTTAAAAACCTAATTACAATCCACACTAGGGCGGGTCGAAAATCTAATTCTTCTCAAATCCCTTAGTAATAGTGAAAATAAGTATGTTGTATCATGAAGTCAACAACAAGTCTGCAAAATATTAGTCTTTTATTTTAATTGTAAGAGCCCGCGCATCGACCGCCAAGTGACCCACAGCACACTAGTCGAATAACCAATTCTTGTTAAAAATTCTGGGTTCAGCAAAAATGTTTGGTGCATATTACTAAAAAAAAATCCGTTAACGCAAAAGATAAAGTCAAATATACAGCCGTATTCTAACAAAGTCACAAACTTTAGCTCATCACTGCTGTGATTTCTACCGCGCCTCAAAGCTTGCCGCTCAAAAAATATGCCGCTTCAATTAAATTTTTTAAATTTTTGTGTATGTTTCTAGCACTCAAAATCGAATTTTTTGTGACATATTTCTCGGCGCACTTAAGAATCAAAAATTTTGTACGCCCAAGTATGATAGACATTTTATTTTATTTTATTATATATTGTTTATAAATGAATTATATTTTTATAAATTATATGTTTTGAGTCATATGTTTCTGAGAAAAATACACCGTAGTAATTTTAAAATTTCAAAATTACATTTCTCGACTGAAAAATAAGATATTCGAGCTAACTCAACGGCACAGAGTGTGATTTTTTATTACCATGCCAATTAATCGTAGCGCTTCCGACAGAAGCATTATTTTGATATGAAACAAAATGGCTTTGAAAGCTAATGTAATTCAAGGAAAAATATTGCTATTGAGCCACAATCACTCCTTGACCTTAAAAAAATTGGTGAAAAATTGTGTTCTTCGAAAAAAAACATGCAAAATCCAACGGATATATTAAAAATACGGTTGCCAGACGTACTGATTTTATCTGGGCATGAATCGCGTATGACGACAATCGTCTGAACGATATCGTGTTGAGATTGTGTTGCTTCATAAAAATCAAAAATTGTTTGATCGTTTGCACGATATCGTCAACTCGATTCCAGTTTTGCTTCACGTAACAGTAATAGTAACACGTAACAGCAACACAAATGCATAAATCAGTCTTTTTACGAGGTCGTTTTGTCAGTATCGTTTGAACGACTATCGTTTTAAAGTTACGTGATTCATGCCCAATACAGTACTGATTTTTCAACTTCTGTACTAATTTTATTCATGTTTTCAATCAGTACGCTAATGTCCTGATATTTTTTTTTTTAATTTGTATTGATTTGTACTGAATTTTCAATTCAAACAAAATACTTTAGGATTTTTATGAGGTTTTTACATAACGTTGGGACTTGCTTAAAGTGTTCTTACACGATACGTATTTGCATGTGTGCATGCCACTTTTTACATATGGAAATGCCAACATATCGTGTAAAGGAAATTTAAAAGAAGAAAATAATTTAATTATAGTTGATATGTTTCCAATAATGTCTGATATGCCCAAGATATTAGTACAACAAAAAGATCAATCGTTTTAAGGGGCATATCGCCGGGTCGTTACGTACCAGTTGCGATAATATGGTGGAGCTTAAATTATTTAAAAAGAAGGCTGACGGTTTTTTGTCCAGTGTTGTCATTTATCTCGAAATATATATATTACAGTTTAATAACAGCAAATGTGAATATTCGAATGGTTTTTGCCTATAACTTAAGCTGCTTTTTTTTCAATACCACACTCAAACGAATCAACTGAGAGGATCTTAAGTATAAAGTTTGCTGGCGCAAAGAGAGAAGCCGGATCAGTGTTGCCACTATTGCTCTTTTCCGACAAAATTTGGGAGCTTTTTTCATTTGGTAGGTTGGTCGGCAAAGTAAGATTTTGGTCGGATAATTGAATTAAGTTTTAAAATTTTTAATTATAAAAATATATATTTCAAACGTCGTTTTAATAAATATTTGCCAATTGTACCTTTTAATTGCCAATCCTGCCTTTAAAAATAAGTGTTTCAAAAAAACGCAATGATGGACTGTATATTTTTAGATTTATTTAGTATTTTATATGTTACCCAACAAAAGTCCAGCTTGTTCGTAGACGGCCAAAAATCAAAAAAGGCCGAAAACATATTTACATGATTTGGCATTGGTTTGACAAGTAGCTGACAAGTGGAAAGTAAAAGTGGTTTGCAAAGAGCGCCACCTATGCGTCAGGATGTAATGTTGCCATATGAACTCATGCAATGCGCGTTTATTTCTTACCATACCGCCCCCCTGAACGACGTTCAGAAAAGAGGTAGAATGGCCACTTTTACAATAGGACGCTTATAGATGCCTCGGGCAGTTTGCACGGTGCCCACTCGAACTTTGTCATCCGGACCAGCGTGGACCGCGGTAATGCGACCGAGTAGCCACTTAGTAGGCGGTAGGTTCGGTTCCTTCAGCACAACAAGTGTACCTGCCGTGACGTTTTCTCTTGCAAGCTGCCATTTGTTGCGGGGTTGTAATGATGCGATGTATGGTTTGTTAGGAAAAGAGTAAATAAAAGAGAGAGTAAATAAAAGAAGAGAGTAAAGAAAAATAACGAGTTATATGGGAATTGAAGTCGGTTTTGTTGTTTTTTTTTGGATAAAAATTATTTGTTTATTAGTTGAATTTTCAGGTAAAATTATTTTTTATTTAGTTAGAGATAGGGCTCGTTTGTAAGCAAAATTGTAAGCTATTCAACGTGCCATTGACCTATAGTTAAAATTTATACCCTTTCTAAATTAATAGGCTCAGAAAATAAAAATTACGTAGAAAATAAAAAACGCGAGAATTATATTATTTGAACAAGTAATTTTTAAGCAAAAAACAAACCGACTTCAGATCTCATATAAAAATTTAAGATTATCGTTAAATTATTTGTGATCCAATAATCGGATTTAATTTTTAATTAGTATGGGATCACCAGTGAAGTAACACCTTTCTTTTAAAAAAAGAATTATAGAAATCGGTTGACGTGGTATAAAGTTATGCGGTAACATACATAACAAAAAAGTATTCCGACGAACTGATAACCTTCTCCTTCTAATGAAGTCGGTTAAAAAGGAACGAGCATATGCTTTCTAACTCATTACGTCGTCTTCCAATGGCCATAGTTTCTGAGGAAAAATCGTAAAGCACCACTCGAATGCGCATTTGAAGGGTAGGAATAGTACCTACTAAATGGCATAGAGCAAACAAAAGTGGCCATTAAAGCCGTTTTTCGTGTACTTAACCATGAAAAACCTCAATATCTTGGAGCATTTGTAAGCTCGAGCTCGAGTTCTAAGCAGTAAATTACTTTCAAATCTGTATTCATAATTATCATGTTCTTAATTTCTTTCGATTACATGTCAAATCGCAAATCTACTGAACTCATGCTACTTATTGCATAAAACAGACTACAAGTCATTTAAAAACCTAATTACAATCCACACTAGGGCGGGTCGAAAATCTAATTCTTCTCAAATCCCTTAGTAATAGTGAAAATAAGTATGTTGTATCATGAAGTCAACAACAAGTCTGCAAAATATTAGTCTTTTATTTTAATTGTAAGAGCCCGCGCATCGACCGCCAAGTGACCCACAGCACACTAGTCGAATAACCAATTCTTGTTAAAAATTCTGGGTTCAGCAAAAATGTTTGGTGCATATTACTAAAAAAAAATCCGTTAACGCAAAAGATAAAGTCAAATATACAGCCGTATTCTAACAAAGTCACAAACTTTAGCTCATCACTGCTGTGATTTCTACCGCGCCTCAAAGCTTGCCGCTCAAAAAATATGCCGCTTCAATTAAATTTTTTAAATTTTTGTGTATGTTTCTAGCACTCAAAATCGAATTTTTTGTGACATATTTCTCGGCGCACTTAAGAATCAAAAATTTTGTACGCCCAAGTATGATAGACATTTTATTTTATTTTATTATATATTGTTTATAAATGAATTATATTTTTATAAATTATATGTTTTGAGTCATATGTTTCTGAGAAAAATACACCGTAGTAATTTTAAAATTTCAAAATTACATTTCTCGACTGAAAAATAAGATATTCGAGCTAACTCAACGGCACAGAGTGTGATTTTTTATTACCATGCCAATNCACCAAGTGGGTCATAGATCCTTGATAGTTCAGACAACATCGCTCTTTTTGTTGGCTTACCAGCAATATCCTTTCCGGTAAATTTGGTAAACAATACGTCGTCGCAAGGATTCCAGTGTAACCCCAAAATCTTCACTGAAGGCGCGGCTGCCTCTGACCTATCCGATATTGCCACGGATTTGTACTCACAGAGGTCTGCACTCAGAGTTTCTAGCAAAGGCCAACAATTGGAACTCCATTTGCGTAACTGGAACTTTGCTTCTGCTAGGAGCTGGATAAGCTCATCCTTGAGTGCGATAAGCTCCTCGACAGAGTCACATCCGGTTGGAATGTCATCTACATATGCGTCGGAGCATAGAGCTCGCGCTGCCAAGGGATATCTGCTTCGGTAGTCATCTGCAAGTTGCTTCAAAACCCTCACTGCCAAAAATGGCGATGGAGCTAGCCCGTACGTCACAGTAAGCAGTCGATAATGAGAAATAGGGGAATCTTCATTTTTGCGCCATATGATGCGCTGATAGTTGGTGTGTTCGGGAGCAACCTGATTGCCGCGGAACATCTTCTCAATGTGGGCGCAAAATACATAACGGTGCTGACGAAAGCGCAGGCAAACTCCAATTAAGTCCCGTTGAATTGGTGGCCCGACTTGTAAGCGATCGTTAAGTGAGAAACCTGTGGCGTCTTTGCCCGAGCCATCAAATACCACTCGGCATTTCGTCGTAGAGCTATCTGGCTTAAGTACGGCGTGATGAGCCAAATATACGCAGGTAGCTGGGTCCTCAACTATCTGCTCCGATGTGAGCACTTCCATATGCCCACGACTTAAGTAATCATCCATAAAGTCAAAATATTGCTGCCTTAATTCCGGAAATCGTAGCAGCTTGCGCTCCAGCGAATGAAGGCGGCTAAGGGCTTGTGGTAAAGTGGCCCCAATCGGCGGAGCGTTGTTCTTGAATGGGTACTGAACCACGTACACTCCATCTTTGTTGCGCCTGTGTGTTTTTGCAAAGTGCTGTTCAGAGGGATCACTTGCGTCGATGACAGCCTTGGGTGGCAGAACGCGGTCCATCTCCATAAAAGAACGAACTAATTCATCAAGGTCTAATTGCGCGTGATGTGCCAAAGCAGGTGTCGAATCTTCGTCAGCAGAACTGTAGGAGCCTGCAATGACCCAACCAAAAACAGCGATAGGAAAGTCGTTACCAAAGAATTTGCGTTCTCCATTGTACAGGTTCCATAGTTGATCCGAGCCAATGATGACATCTATGGCGCCAGGTAGACCAAATGGCGGATCTGCTAAAGGCAACTGACATATTTGCTCCCAGGTGGATGAGCTGGTGTTGATCGCTTGCGCTGGTTAGTGCACTCATGATTAGCGTAGTGACTTCAACAGATTTGTTAGATGTGCGTGACAGAAGTTGGAGCCTGGCACGACCCCTTGTGATGCCAGCACTGTTAATGGCAAGGCCGACAACTGAAATACGTGCGTGTGTTCGCGGAGCTCCGATCCGCTGAATAAATGCCTCTGTAGCCAAAGTGATTATTGACCCTGTGTCAAGAAGTAGACGGCAAGTAGTTGTATTGCCCCAAGTATCAACCACATTTGCGAGAATAGATGGTAGAAGCGTTTGCGTGCGGGTCTGATAAACCTTGTCCAAGGTGTGATGGATAACACCTGCTGAGGAAGGTTGAGTAGCCTTAGGCACCGAAGAAATTCCGCTGCAATCTGCGCTCTCTTTAACTGTGGGGGTGTCATGTGGAGTTTTCTGGTGCGCACCATGAACCAGGGTGTGATGTTTAGCGCTGCAAATTCGGCAAGTAAAACTTGAGGTGCAGTTCTTGGCCGTANACAAAGGTGTTCGCTAAGCTCAATAAATCGCTCGTAATTTGCATTGCATTTGCAGCTTAGCTAAGCGATACTCCAAGGTTTCCACTGACGTACTCGCTTCTACCACTTCAGCCACAGTTGCATGCGCACGAGTTATTTGCCCCTTGCAAAAGCCGCGTTGCTGGATCAGGCGATTCATTGTATCAGGAGGTTAAACTCGTAAGCCGTACGGCCAATTTTGCCAAAAAAAAAACCCAAAAAACGCACAAAAATTCGTAAAATATTATTATAGTATATTTACGCCGGGCGATCCGGTTTGAAGGACCAGCAAATGTTTCAAAAAAACGCAATGATGGACTGTATATTTTTAGATTTATTTAGTATTTTATATGTTACCCAACAAAAGTCCAGCTGGTTCGTAGACGGCCAAAAATCAAAAAAGGCCGAAAACATATGTATTTACATGANCATGAACTGGTTGACAATATACGCAATGAGGTCCAGTCCGTTGGTGAACAGCATGGTGAACCGTAGCTTGTCGTCGACTCGAAGAAAGACGTGGTGGTTGACAAGATTCCAGTGCATCACATCGAGAAAATAAAAACTTGAAGAAGTCATGAATAGTAACATCTTCTTTGCTAGACACTTTGCTTTCTGCCCAAAATTGTCGTGTGTCGGTATCAAGTTTCGTTAGAAGAATATGTATGAGCCACGGGTCACGCTGGTTGCATTTAAGCGCACCCAACCCGCGAATGGCCTCATCAGCCCCATCGACCAATTTTCGTAACGCAGCGACACTCGATCCGCTTACGCTAGGAAGTGCTAGATAGTTGCTTATAAATGAGCGGGCAATCAACGGCTTCTTGTCGTAACATTGCACCAATCGCTCCCACGCCTCCTTGTAATTGTCGTCTGTGACGGTAATATGTTTGACCAAATTCAATGCTTCACCATCCAAGTATGATTTCAGATAGTGAAACTTTTGACAATTGGTCAGATTCGCACGCTTATCTATCGAGCCCAAAAACAAGTCGCAAAATTGCCGCCAATCTTCATAGTTTCCCGAGAACGTCGGAATCTTTATTTTTTCCAGGTGTAATTCCGTGTGGCTACTTGACTCACGTAATTTTTCCAAAAACTTAGTTTGGCTGGAAACAAGGCATTCTATTTATGTTTCAGAAGCGGTTACATCAACGGCAGACGGTTTTGTTTCTTTTTGAAGCTGATTTAACGCTTGAGAAAGTACAGAATGCGTGTAAAAGTGTTTCTCCTCATACTCCACTACATCTGTGGCCGGATCGATGTAATCAGGTTCATCCTTGTATGTGCAAAGGTGTTCGCTAAGCTCAATAAATCGCTCGTAATTTGCATTGCATTTGCAGCTTAGCTAAGCGATACTCCAAGGTTTCCACTGACGTACTCGCTTCTACCACTTCAGCCACAGTTGCATGCGCACGAGTTATTTGCCCCTTGCAAAAGCCGCGTTGCTAGATCAGGCGATTCATTGTATCAGGAGGTTAAACTCGTAAGCCGTACGGCCAATTTTGCCAAAAAAAACCCAAAAAACGCACAAAAATTCGTAAAATATTATTATAGTATATTTACGCCGGGCGATCCGGCTCGAAGGACCAGCAAATGTTTCAAAAAAACGCAATGATGGACTGTATATTTTTAGATTTATTTAGTATTTTATATGTTACCCAACAAAAGTCCAGCTGGTTCGTAGACGGCCAAAAATCAAAAAAGGCCGAAAACATATGTATTTACATGATTTGACATTGGTTTGACAAGTAGCTGACAAGTGGAAAGTAAAAGTGGTTTGAAAAGAGCTCCACCTATGCGTCAGGATGTAATGTTGCCATATGAACTCATGCAATGCGCGTTTATTTCTTACCAATAAGAAACCTATTTGGTTTGGCCACTGATGGAGCCAATGTTATGGCTGGAGACTTGGGCGGGCTGAAAACATTATTGAGTGCTGAAACCGATTTATTTCATATAAAGTGCACATGCCACTCACTTCACCTTTGCTCAAGCTACACTTGTAAAAAATCGCCGAAAAGCATTGAGACACTATGCCGCTAAAAATATAGTTTCTTTTCCCACAGTCCAAAGAGGATACATGAACTGAAGGAATTTCAGGACTACTGGTCTGTAAAACCCCACAAAATCTTAAGCATTTCTCAAACACCATGGCTTTCACTAGGAAGTGTTGTGTTAAGAATAGTTGAGCAATGGTATATTTTGAAACTTTATTTTATTTCCTACTTTTACGAAGTAAACGGTATGCGATCTGCAGACCTGGCAGAAGGAATGTGTTGCAAAACCAAATGCTATTTTTTATTTCCATCGTATATTTTCTTATCTCTGTGCCCAAGACTGTATCTGCATTTATTTATTTCTTGTTTGTTTTAAAATGTACAAAGTACAAATACGTTTGTATGTAAATGTTATGTATTCGAAACATTTACGACTCTATTCTGTATCAGTGACTAATTCTTGTCGCAGTTTTTATTACGAAAAAGTTTAAATTTGTCAGTAAAAAAATTTTGTCACCGATACAGAATTGAGCTATTACAGGTCTATTCTGCACGTTACCGAAGATTTTATAACCGGAAAATTTTATTATAAAAAAAATGTTACCAGTTGTCACCGCGATTCTAGCTTCGTTGGTAATGCAGTTAAAATATTCGGCAACTCAGCTATGAAGAATTGTGCAGATTCTGGCATTGCATATTTCACGGGGCAAACTTTGTTACCAGCTTATGAGATGGTAACAAAATTTACCGCTTACAAGAGTACAGAGAATGCGAAAAGGGTTTAAAAATTGACAAGAACTTTATTTACCGGTTACAAACTTTTTATTACCAGCGTAGAATAGACCTGTTAATCTATATCTATATCTATACTCTATACTATTATATAAAATTGATTATATGGAGTACGTTTGTAACGATTTATTTCTCAAAGTACTAAACCGATTTTAATATTTTTTTTTTTTAAACGAAGCATTTGTAAAAAGACGCAGAGTGGCATACTTATATTTTTTATTCTTGGAAGATAAAAGTGTGTTTGCATTGTTCAACTTTGCGTTCAACATTTGCGTTCAACTCAGCTCAGGGTTGCACGAAAAAAAAGTTGAATGGCTAAAAATATCAAAATATGAAAAAAAAATCAAAATATTCGCCATAAAAAGGTGTTTGCATTGTTCAACTTTGCATTCAACTTTTGGTTGAATGGCCTTTCAACTAATCGCTTTCAACAAAGTTGGTCGCCAGCCAACATTTAGCCATTCAACTTTTTTTTTCGTGCAACCCTGCGTTGAGTTGAACGCAATTGTTGAACGCAAAGTTGAATAATGCAAACACTGCTTAAGCACCCTTTTTTTGGGTGTAAAGTTACAAAAAATTACAAAGTCGTACAAGCATAAGCCTATTTGGTTGCCAAATACAGCGCATAGCTACGCGAAAAATCTGTACATCAGTGCCGATCAAACATGAGCTCACAAAGGCAAAAGAGATGTGTATGAGCGACGTTACTGCGCTATACCACATACATACACCCATAAACGTATTTGAGCTAAACAGCGATCACTGATTGAACATGCTAAATACATACATATGTATGTGTGTACACATTTATAACCGAAAGGCAAAGCATCGCTTCGAAGCAGTGTTGCCACAACACTTTTTTATTTTTTACCAAACTCACCAGTAAAAGTTACCAAATTCAACAAAAAATTACCAAACTTTTTTTATGTGGAGAACTGTGCACAGATATGTTTGTACATACATATATCCGAAGACACCAAGCTTTTCAGACAACCAGCGCTTCATTCAGCTATAATTTTTATATCTGCGTGAACGCTAAAACTCACAACAACAGAAACGCTTGGTGAGGATTTCAAACCTAAGTGTGGCCAAAGACACAAATTTGTCGATTGCGCGTTGCTTTAAGAACATATGTATATTTTGCATTTGAATATACATCTCCATCAATACAAAGCTCAGGCCACAAAGCAACTGAAGCCATGTGATCATTACCTTTGTCATGGGTACGGTTCATTGCAACAGAGGATTATTAGGCGCATCATTTCCCATAGAGAGGATGTCATTTTGCCATTGAAATCATCCGACTTGGCACCATTGGAATTTTTTAGAAAGGCGCATTTATGCGAATAAACCTAAAATTTTGGAGCATTTTAAAATCAAAATTTGTCTATATATAACAATAAATATCTTAAAAATTCAACGCTTCAAGGCAGTTCTGAAAACTTTCGACTGACG